GGCCAGCATCACGCGGCTGTTCGAGGACCTCTGCGAGGCCCTCCTGCCGCCAGCCCAGCCCCACCTGGGCCGGCGCGCTGCGAGCCGGCGGAGGGCCACGCGCAGGCTCAGGAGGGTGGCCTACGATGCTCTTTTCGCAAGTCTTTTCCGAGAGGAGATCCCGCAGCTGCAGCCTGGCCTGGCAAAGCTCCCAGTGAGGAACAAGATCCTCATGTTATCCTTCGACTTGAGAGTGGGCGGCCTGGGCCCCGAGGCGGACCGTTTGGAGGAGCTCGTGGGAGAGCTGGAAGAGGCCGCCCGCTGTCCGCTTGTGGAGGTGGCGTCTGTTCTGGACCTCCTGGTCCAGCTGGCGGGGACCGGACCCCCTCGAGTACTGCAGAGAAAACGGGACTACTTTCATAACAACAGGCACGTTGGAAGAAACGTTCCACACAGCGGCTACGATTGCTATAACCTGCGTGCGTTTGAGATGGACGTTCAGTCTCTGGTCACCAGAGAGGAGGATTTGTGTCACAGCTTGATCCAGGAGACCCTTCAGGTGATGGAGGCTGCTCCGGGCACCGGCCTCTCCACCTTCCGGCTCTTCTCATTTGGTGACCCTTGTGGTGACAGGTTTGAGAGAGACACCCGGGTCTCGCTCTTTGGTGCCCTTGTGCACAGCCGAACCTACGACATGGATGTCCGACTGGACCTGCCCCCAGTGTCGGGTAGCGCGGATCTCTCGGCACTGGCCATTAAGGTAGACAGTTTGTCCCCTGTACCCATACCCCACGGGTCTCTCAAGGTATTTGGGAAATGCTTTACTTGACCTTACTTTGATCAGGCTAAAGATTGCTGAAGTCGGGAACCAGCAGTTAGCGTAATGGCTATGTCTGGACTCCCATGTAGTCGACCGCGGTTCGCGTCCTGGACCCAGTGGCTTAAAACTCACGCCGGGTGCTTGTGCGGGCATGCCCAAGATCCCGAGAGGAGAATGGAGGAGAAGGGATTGCGGTGTGGCCATCCCCCCTGGGGGGTGATTTCTCGCTTTCTGTCTCTATGTCTCGCTCTGTCTGGTGAGCGCACGCGCCCTATAGCGAAAACCTCATAAAAAAAAAAAGGATTGCTGAAGTAACTCCATTTACTATCTAGAGCTATTTTAATTTAATTAAAAGCAAATAAAATTTTCGTTCCTTAATTGCACAAGCTGCATTTCAAGTGCTCAACACACTGATGTTGGAAAAAATGCTATTAATGTGGGACCAGCAGTTGGCATAATGGCTACAACGCTGGACTCCCATGTAGTCGACTGCTTTTCCAGTCCTGGACCCCGTGGCCTTCAACTCACGCTGGGCATGTGTTCGTGTGTGCCCAAGGTCCCGAGAGGAGAATGGAGGAGAAAGGATTGACCATTCCCCTGGGGTGTGATTTCTCACTTTCTTTCTCTCTCTGTCTTTCTGGTGAGCACACATGCCCTATAGCAAAAGAAAAAAAAAATAAGCCTGTACAAAAACAAAACAAAACAAAAATGTGTCATCCCAAACAATGCTAGGGCAGATGTCTTGGTGTGTATACATTTTTTCTGTGTCTAGTATGACTTATTTTTTCCACTTTTTTGCCATAGTGTGTGTGTGCACTCACTGGAGAGAGACAGAGAGATGGAAAGTGAGAAATTGCCCCCAGAGGAATGGCCATGCTGCAAACCTTTCTCCGTCATTCTCTTGGGATTTGGGGCTTGCATGCACAGGTGCTCAGCTTGATTTTCAAGCTGCCGGGATGGGGACACGAACTGTGGTTGGCCAGGTGGACCAACACCTTAGCCACCATGCCACATGCCAGCCCCGTGATGTGATTTTACTTATGTTGGATTCACCAAGATGGAATTTCCAGGACAGAAGCATTTTGTAAAAAGTTTCATTGTGGAACCAGCAGGTGGTGGTGGTGTGGTGGTTAAGGGGGCTGGACTCTCACATGGCCGACCGCGGTTCGAGTCCTGGACCTGGGAGCTTCCTTTCTCACTCTCTTTCTCACTCTGTCACTCTCTGGTCAAATTTAAATAAGTAAATAAGTAAAGTTAAAAAAAAGTAAATAAAACATGGGATGGGATGGAAGGCTGTCTTTCCATCTGTCTCTCACTAGTGGAAGAAATAGAAATGTTTCATTGTAAGTTATAACTGAAGTTTATGTGCTCTATGAAATTGGAAATTGGTAGCCTTAATTAATTCGTTTGTTTAATTTTTCAATGGTTCATTTAGGAGAAAACACTGTAGTACATGAGTGCTTGAAAAAGCTGAAGAGGCATTTGAGTAGGCCTTTCCTTCCAGTGAGAAAATGAAAGTATGTGGATAAAATTCCTGGAATTCTGACCACAGTTGTGTGAAATGCAGACACAAAGGAGGAAAAGGTTATGGTTTACTCTTTCCTGTGGCCTCTAGGTCCCTCGGAGTGTGGATCAGTGGGAAGACGAGGGATTCCAGTCAGCGTCCAACCTGACTCCTGAGTCTCAGTCTGAACCGAGTGTGACCCCGGATGTGGACTTGTGGGAAGCCGCCCTCACCTACGAGGCCAGCAAGCGGAGGTGCTGGGAGAGAGCTGGATGGTGAGTGAGCCTTTGCCTTTAAAGGCACTGCCCCAACCCTTGAGGGCATGGCCTACTCAGTGAGCCTAGGTGGCAGTTTCTAGAAGTAGCCGTGATGAGGTTTCGGTCAGGCTGGTGTACAGAATCACCTGAGGCCTGGGAACTAAGAGGGGAGGGACTTGCAGAAGGTCCGCACTGTGCGAGTAGCTTCTGCACCTCACTTTCCAGTCAGTGGCCACCAGGTCACGTCCTTCCTGCTGGGGCTCCTGGGCACGGGTGTCCTGGCAGGCCATGTACTGAGTGCCAGGAGGAAAGACTGCCTGGCCACAGGCTGCTGATGCAGGATCTGGGGTGAGCTCCTCCAGTCGAAGCTGCCTTCACCGGCTGTTCTAGCAGCTTGCTTCCCAGAGAGAGCGCCGTCAGTCCCTGGGCTCGCACTTAGGGCTGCTCAGGGTCTTTCCTCCTGGCATCTTTGGGAAACTACCAACAGGATCAGGAGACACGCACCCCAGTGTTTGGTTATAGAATCCTCTCTGCACAGCTGGTCCACTGATCCTTCTAAATGCATTTTGGGGAGCACTGAGTTAAAGAGTCAAGGCTGGCTTAGAGCTGAGTTCCTCTAGCACCTCCTGGAGAGTACGTGCTCAGGGACAGTTACACATTGCCTGTGTGTGCTGGGCACTGCCACTTGGGGACAGCTCTCCTGGCCATAGTCACATGCCCGCCTCCTCAAGGGACAGCCAGCTCCTGCTTCCCAGGCCAGTAGTGTGAGCAGTTGTCTTATCCACCAGTAATCTCGCACTAGGGCACTGGCCTTGTCTTTTCACAGATGGCCTTGTCTTTTCACAGATGGCCTTGCTGTCTGCCAGCCCCTCGTGTTTAAAAACTAACCTAGGGGCTGGCAGGTGACATGCGGGTTGGGGTGCCAGACTCCATCATGGTCAACTGTGGTTCAAGTCCCAGACCTGGTGGCTTGCTTTCTCCCTCTATCCCCTCTTC